CGACGCCAGTCTCGTGATTCCAATTGGTGGTGGGATCCCACGGCGGTCACGATAGAATAAGTTCGACCAGGCAAAGCAGGCAGGGCATAAGCATGCATGGATAATTCAAATTCAGTTCAATTTATCAGCTATAAACCATGTACTAGGGTATATTGGTTCCAGCTGCCACCATTCCGGTCCTTCGAATTGGGAGAGCAGGCAGAAATAGCCAAGTATTGGATGCGTTGGCATGATCGGGTAGTCCGGAAAACTGGGCACTTATGCATGAAAAGTAATAACCATGAATCAGGAGCGCCGCTGACTGCGTTATTGAGCCATGTCTACTAGTGTCATTAGCCACTGGTGTTTTGAGGCCCGCGGTTTCCATCCAGGGAGGTGACAGATGTCGACCCGAATGGGTTCACTGGTTAGTGCTTCCATACTTCATTTTCAGGTCATGGGATGTCGCCTCTACTCAGCACACGGCTAAGCGAAAGTAGATTTGCGAAGAAGACGTCCTCTGACACTCGACGCACATGTCCTAATCAACGTAACCTATATGGTGTGTGCCTCCGACACACCGATAGTCAAAGAATGACAGCCTTCGTAAGCTTTCCGCAAGTGGATGCCACGGTTATTATCCATAAAGCAGTATGGATTGTGCCGCTGCAGTGTAAACTCTGCCCTTGACAGTCAAACTGACTTTACATCTACGCCATAGGTGTCGAAGGTGGGTAAGAGCTGCCGTCGTTTTCCAGCTTCGAGAAGTAATCTCATTTCCAGCCAGTTCACTACAACTCATACGACTGCCCAAGTGAACACATTTATCTACCACGTCAGTCGGCTCATTATCAAGCATGAGGTTTGGGTTGCAACATTTAACACTTAGCAGGTGTGAAGCGCATGCCAAACCGTGCAGCAGGATTACTTAGATTTGCACGGTTTGAAAGAGTGGTGCTGTTCAAGAACTTGTCTGAAGGCAAAGATTGTCGATGCGTTCTCGGCCAGGGTGAAACCCAGCTCGATTCCCACAAATATGTCTTTCACAGTGTACCTTAGATGTGACGGATACCAGGATGATGCCAAAATTGTTTCCGCACGACGTTCCTGCACCCTTTTTGAAGATTGGGATGACCTCGAGGAGGTTTAGATGTGACGGATACCAGGATGATGCCAAAATTGTTTCCGCACGACGTTCCTGCACCCTTTTTGAAGATTGGGATGACCGTCGAGGAGGTCTAGTACGCTTATGTCATGCTTTCGTTCCAAATTTGAAGTATGGTCGTCAGACTTTTACTAGGACCTCACCACTTTTGAAGAGTGTGGGGTGCAGACCGTACGGGCCAGATGCCTTATCCCTTTGAAGGAGTGATTTCTCACGTTGGATTTCTGTTGTTGGTGTCGATGTTCTATTCAGTCCCGCGGTTGTGTTGAACGACACCAGCTTTGTTGTCCTTTGAAGTGTTCAACTCATCGCTCAAGACGAACATTTTTTGTGGCTGAATTGTTATTCCGTCTTTTTGCACATTGTTTCGGTGAAACTTGTCTTCTTTTGGCCAATTGGAGTCAGCTGAAGTAGGGCGCGGTTGTCGTGTGGAACGAAATCCTTTTCCATCTCATTTGCCTTCGAAATTAACGAAACTTCTTTGTTATTTCGTAGGTGCTTCATTATCGGTATGTGAGGGAACTGCGTGCGCTATCATAATCGCTACCTGCCGGTATGGCCATTCTGGCAGCAATAAGACCTGCCGATCTCGACTATATCCAGTGTTCATTTAATTGAGTCGGATGGCTTTCTGATCAAACCAGCCCGCTACTTTAAGCTACTGAAATTTGTCGAGGCTGATTTGTTTAGTTGGTCTGGTTTGGCACGCGTGATGCTGACGGAAATCAAGTTGACAACAGAACCTGCACAATGGAGTAACAGCAATCAATAACTAAAGCTCTCCATCGGTAACTGTTAGCTACCTGATCCAACTGAATCCATGACTGTCTTGTGGTTGGTTGGGGGGGATCGAGATGGACCAAGTGGTTAGAGCGCGAATCTACTGACCGGAAGGTCCGTGGTTCGTAATTCTACGCTACTATTTACACAAGGGTAAGCAAATGTGTTCACGTTCGTAGCGTCAACCTGTTCACTGACTAGCAAAGTGCGGTGTCAACGTCCGCACACCAAGCAACGGCGAGCGGAATGATGGCTCAGCAGCGTGGGTTTCGGTCGACCCTTCCGACGACAGTCTCGTGATTCTCATTGGATGTGCGATCACACGGGACCCATGAGTAAACAAGTCAAGGCAAACTTAGCATATGGGACATGAATGCATATGTTAAGTAGGTCAGCAGCGCGCATTCACACACAGACACATGTCAGTGCGCAAGTGTCGGACAGGATGGCCTCTGCGGCAAGGTGAGTGGCGGGTACGAATAAGCAAAACAACTGGAGATCAAAAGTACATAGTCGGGGTAAGCAAATTAACGGAGGAATTACCATAAGGTCAAGTTAGATTTCACAGTGGCCCTCACGTAACTGGTTGAGAGCGTTTGTGCTGGAAGTTCGTACTGGCCAGGAACAGATGACGACCGACACACAACTGAAGCAGTCGCTCCGCATTATTCGTACGCTGAGGATCGACTCCAAATCTGCCATCCAACTGTGCTCTTCTGGACTTCGTCTTTCGAACTGTGCATTCATATCACTCGCCAGGATTACCATATCCGTCCTTCCTGTTGACCGAAACGGTTGCGACAGATATTAAAAAAACTGCCCTCAGTCTCAGAACTGCTGTCTATCGGGGAGTTTGCTGACAAATGAAAACCGTTTACTGCATCGAGCTGCATTGATCTCAATTAAGCCAGACAACCTTACAGCGCAAAGACGACTGCTTACTGGGATCAAGCCCAATATAGCACTTTTAGCTTTGGGGTTGAATGTAAATCCTGCACCATAGATACCATGAGCTATTGCGTAAGAACCAGATATTCGTCCTAGACGGCTTGAGATGCGGGTCTTCAATGTGTGTTTCGGAGGCAACATACATCGACAGAGAGGGAAAGCAACTTGACACAAACTACGGACATTTAAGGCTGCAAGGGACCTCAAATCTTTTGAGGTTACTAAGGGACTATTTTGGTTTACTTTTCTGGGCGATAGTTTAGATACGGGAGAATGACTAAGTGACTGGCAGGTGGGTCGATCGCACTGCATCATCTGATAAATGGAGAGTTGCGATGAGCAAAGAGCTCACAAGCAGGCGTTGCTCTTCGTGCAACTGTGGTCGCCCATAACATGTGGACCGTGGGTAAGTAGGTCAGTAACACGCACATACATGTCAGATACCAGTGTCAGCCTTTGCGTCCAAGTGAATAGCGAGTACGGTGGAGATCGATAGGTACGCGGATGGTGTAAGCAAAAGAAATGATGAATAACCATGATGTCAGGTGAGACTCTATGCATAAATGCAGTGACCCACTGAACGGCGCCTCAAGCTGTCATGGCGCAGTAATCCAAGGTTCACCATAAAATTTCCACGATCACCAAGATATCGCACGTCGTGTTGGTTGCTCCCGATAGGACATTTTCCATACTGTTATACAAAATGTAGGCCTGACATATATCCCTATTTGATTAGGGATGGTTGCATATGCATAACTCTTCTCGCTAAATCTCTCCACTACTGCTCATGAAGCCCAATTCTATCGAGTCCTGCGCATTGACGTTTAGAAATAGCTGGCCAAATCGGTTCCCGGGAAACAAGGAAAACGAATTCAATAATGTGCATTTCAAAGGGCAAAGAATTTAATGAAAGTCAACTATGAACATGAAGATGTGACCTTTTGCATGAATGAAATTTCCCATCTAGCGTTTAAGTATCCTTGCTCAGGAATTTCGCTAGCATCTTAAAGTTCATCCATCTTATGGCTTCACCTTTAACTTAATAAGGCGAACTAAGATGACGCAGTTGGTGCCTCTGCTAATCCCTCGGAAGGTGATTTGAATCCGGAGATTCCTCGCGAAATTCTACTGCGCAGCTCGAATCGATCTCAGCGGGAACCACTGCTCATATACAGAAGCCTGATGGAGATCGCCACTCCTGGGTTGGCTAAACCGTGTTTTTCTCGAAAGCGATGAGACTGCAACGTGCAATGAAAGATTCTTTGTTGCAACACAGTCATCATCATGTGTTGCTGTGCTGTTTCGGACTTGTTTCACCTGAGAGCCGTATTCTTGGGGCGAGATGGCCCAAGTGGTTACAGCGCGAATTAACTAACCGTGAGGTCCGTGGTTTGAACCCGACCTCTGCCTCTCGACTTCCCGTGTCTAGGCTTGGGCAACCTGACCGTATCCCAGCCCTCGTGCAACCTTTGCGTGGCATGGCAGTTTGGCACCGGAGGGTGTTGCAGCTGAACGAGAGTCCTTTTCTTCCATGTTCACCAATATCATAGGTAATATCAATGTGAAGAGGGGCCACTTTGACTAAACAGTCAGTAACGGTAGGATTGCTGGAGCTTGTCGTTTGACACGAGATCAAAATTTCTCGGAAACTGGTTGCTGTTTTTTCGCACGCAGGAGATTTACAAGGCGCGATTAGACCTAGTATAAAGCGGCTAGCGAAGGGCACAAGCATATCAGTTGACAAGTTTCCGATAACCTAGCCTAGGAGTTTGGCTTCGTGAACCATACCAGGCACCGTGGGTCGACTACAGGTATTCCCGGCAAACGACTGAGTCAGTTTCATGCGAGCTCCTAAAGGAACCCTTGAGCGCAACACAGAACTCACTCCCTGACTGAGGTGACTGTTTCTGTTGTGCATATTTTTCATTCACTTGTTATATAGTACTGACAATGGTGGCTCGGAACGGCTCGTTGACACCTTCAGCATGTTTCCTTTTCAATTTGAGCGATGGAACCAAGGGAATTTGGTGTTTTTCAAAGGAATCTTTTTCGATTATGGACGGGTGTTAGTTAGCTCCATTCATTCTCTTTCTAGTCCTCACTTTCATCCTCTGATCCAGTTATTTTAATGGCCATCAATGAAGTTATGTTGCTTTTCAACATGATATTCCTACTCATTCAGGATATAATGGATAACTTCCAGCTTGGCGAGGATTTTACCGAATGTATTAAGCTTGGAATCCTTCACAGTCCGACAGGACGTTTCCTAACCGCTGAAGTATTCAACAACGAGATCAACGTATCTGGCACGGCTCTACGTCGCCGCCAAGTTTGGACTATAATCACTGAGCGCGGTCGACCTGATACGGTTTACATACAAAGTCATCTGGGACGTTTCCTATCAGCAGACAAAGATGGCAAAGTTAACGCGGCCTCGAAGATACCAGGTAAGCAAGTCTTGTAAATCACAAGCTCAGTGTGAATGGGTCTCCTAAGATGGTAGCAATCTTTACGAGTGTTGTAGTCCTGTGACCGTGGTTTTTCAATCCCATTCGCTTTTGAAATCGTCCACATTAGTTTACTTGTTTCGCGAATGCCTATTTTAAATTGGACTACAGTAGTACGAACGCTTGACGCAGTGATGGCACTATACACTACGCACTCTGAATAAAAAATGGGGCCAGAGTATGACGTATCAATCTGACAAAATATCGTAGCTGATTTAGACTCCATACAACAATGGCTCTCTACTAACTTATTAAAAAAAAACGTAGATATTGATAGACATCTAAAATCTGTATAATCAGGATTGACCTCTTGGTTATCCATTCTTGCCAACTTGGTCATTAAAGTTTGGTAGACAGTGCCTAGTCAGCAAGCTCACGCAAAAAGTCCACATTAATGTGTTATGATGTTCTTTTTAAAGGAACCAAGTGGAACATCTCGAATCACAATGGCTTTATTCACTTTTCCTTTTGTAACGCCTCGCCATAAGATCGACCTATTGGAGTCTGAATTTCAAACGTGTCTATATGACGAACCATGTTTTGAACCAGGGTCATTTCCTTTGACCGTGATTCTAATGTCTCATGGCTCTTCAGAAGACTACTCCGACATAGGGGCTATACCCCATCCTCTCTGACGGCTGCTCATTTACAATTCTGTGTACGCCAGCCATAAATGACTTGTTTCAAGATAAGCCCACATTTGACGTGCTTCATTTTGAAGCGTATGTCAGCATCTAAGTTTCTCGTATATATCTATTTTCTCCTAAGTGTTTCCACGTTCCCAAAAATGCACTTTACAAAGCAACTTCGGGACGCGTAAGCTCAGCGTAGGGAACATAGATCCACTTTCACATTACCCTCGTTTGGACAGTCGCCCTACTGTCCTGGCGTAACAATTCTGGTGAGTCCACACCAAAAAGAGAAGCACTGGGTTATTAGTTTCGCCCTTATCAGAGCTCATCAGGAGTGCATACCCTTGACCGTGCCGGGGTTTGAACTCCGGGCATCTGACATGCGAGGCGAGCTTGTTACCGCTACTCAACCAGCCCACCTGGCTGCGCCTGAATTTTCGCATCTGAACAGACGCTTGAGCTATGTGATTAGCATGCTCGACTCCTCGAATGACGATCTAGCAACTATCTTGGTTGTGACGATCGACTGACCCGCCTGTCAGTCAGACAGTGCCATGAACTTTACCACCAGTCAGGAGTCTTTGCAACTCGTGTCCGTTTCGGCTTATCATAGGTCCACGCCTGGTCATGAACAAAGTTTGAATCAGCTGATCATGATCTGTCGATTTTGCTTGATTGTGAGCCTTTGTGTGCCGGGTGCTATCATGAACGCCCCGAGTTTGATGTGAAGTGATCAAGAAAATCTTGTGAAATCACGCAGCTCGCATCAGCAGGACGAGCTTAATAAATCAAAATTCAGCTTTCTCTTACAGGAAACATACAACTCAGCTGTATTTTTCAGAACGCCTGTCCACCAAATGATCTCCATCTTACTTACCTTCTTGCTTATGTCTTCGCTTTTGTTCTGAAGGCGTCGATGAACGTTTTCTACTGGAATATTCTCCACAAGCGACTGGCGAGTGGTCGTTCCGATCTGAAGCACATAGTTATTACCTATCCGGATCTGAAAATCAAATAAGTTGCTTCTCCAAGTCCCCGGTTTGGTGGGCAGTTCGATTGGCGGTCCATCCTCAGGTAAGTCTGTAATTCTTATCCATTAGATGTTTTATTTACCACCTTTTGCTTTTCCATTTCAATTACAGCTTCCTTACACTTGTTGTTGTGGCTCGAAAGAGATCAAACTGCGGACGTCTTAGGAAGGGAGCAAGTGCCACAGGCTTCCTATCTTTGAATCGAAATGATTAATCGAGCGAACCCACGTGGAAAACTAACTTAAAACTTGAGCACTTGGGAGCATTCAAGTAGCGTTTTGGTCTTCTTTTCACCACCTTACTGTGGTTTACTAAGGCTATGAAACTTAGACTTGAATGTTAGCTATAAAGACGGATTGGAGTTAGTACTGGGAAGGAACGCGCTGCGCGTTTAATCCTGCTGGTAATTGACTCGATAAATGTGGCAGGATCGGCTGGGTGATTCTTGGGTAACAGCTTTTCACTGTCGTACGCAAAACGATACGATCCTTGATCATACCTACGTGCATGACGAATAGGTATTGGAGCGATTTTTCTGTTTGGTTCATATGGTTAGTTTGTAGGGAAATGTCTCATTTTTAACAGTCGATTGGTTATTCTTTCATTTTCCGATCCTTATAGGGGACCTGTGAGGCAGCAAANAGGGAAATGTCTCATTTTTAATAGTCGATTGGTTATTCTTTCATTTTCCGATTCTTATAGGGGACCTGCTAGGCAGCAAACTTATGGAACTTGACTCTGAATATACCACTTTTAAGGACAAATTTGTTTTTAATCTTGATCCTAAGAATGGTGCTTTCTATCTGCTCTGGAAATCACTTAATGTAACAGGAGATACTGGGCGATTGTCGAAAGAAGGTGCATGATATCTTCCTTCCGTGTACCACTAGGATGAGCGAAATTCATGGCTGCATTACGGGAAAACCTCTGGCGAAAATGTATTCCCGCTGCCACGGAAATCACACTTAAAGTGCATTGCACCTACTGGGAATTTTCCGGTTTTGCACTCGCCCCGGGCGGTGAATAAGACAAACAGACTATATTGTGCATAAAAACGAACTACTAAATGTGCGCTTCTGGCCTGCATGACTATGTGCGCTCTTTTCGCGCACAGTGGTTTCTTGATGCATTCTTACCTAGGAATTAGCTTCCACTGGTTTTGTTTGTGCAATCCATTTATCATTCTCTATCACCAAAAAAAGGATTTGCTTGGTTGGGGCCACGGACGCCACATCCTAATCACCGAATGATTGTATACATTAAGCTGGGCAGGAAACGGATGTTTCGATTAGGCCCAAGGTCATGAGCCTCTTTTTCTCTGCAGTGAAAGCTAGAATACTTGCTCGGTGGTTTTTCAACTTAGCAAGCTAGCTATTCACTCATGAACCGGTTGCGTAGATGGATCGGTTGAGAAAAGTGTTTTACTGTATTCGTTTTCAGCTCCCATGTTTGTAAACTTTCTAATAACATAGGAACACGACCGAACTGCAGAAATTTACCGGGAAGGGACCTTAGTTTCATATTATCTGTATCTGATGTGAATATATGTTGCATATACTATTGGGCCGTTGAGCAGTCTGATCGGCTGGAAACCTGCAAACAGGACGTAACGAGTAAGGCCAAGCGTAAACGTGAATTGGCGAGGGCATGGCATCACATTTGGTGCACACAGAATGAGACGCAAAGATGGGCACGCAACCTACAGCCTACTACATCTCACTCAATAAGAAGAATGAGTGAAGTGTACTCATTTGCATACTAGGATGCCCAACCAAATTCCAGTTGAATGCCTCGTTTATGGTATTGTTCCTCAACTAAATGTTCTGCACCAGGCCACCTGATATTTCAGTTGGCACGATACGCCAGTACCGCAATACAACGTATAGACATAACACACTACTCACAAGTGGACTGTCGGGGAGTCTTCAGCAACCTTATGAGTAGTGTACCACGTTCAAAGAATGTATCGCCTTATCTCGAATATCGTACCAACTGAAACAGGAAGCGGCCTGGTGTACCAAATTAAGAACATAATAAACGAAATATTCAGCTGGGTTCCCTAGTGAGTCTCTCCTCAACATCAAATTGATATGCAAATGCGTGTATTTGTAGGAAACATGACGACCAGGACTACTTCTGCTGGTGGGCGCCAGTTTGGGACTGTCGCTGTATCCGTCCTGCGATAAGTCGGCAAACACGTGTCTAAAATGTCACTAGGTTTCTGTTCTCCCTTAGGTTTCTGCAGAGTTCACTTGAGCTTATCGGTGAACTGTTGCGCCTCTCCATTCGGGTGACGTTAATATGCTGGATTCCGAAGGTTCTTGAGAGGGAAGCATTTGCAAAACTTTTGATTAGGCGAACTGAGAGCCATATTCACTGACTGTCTGTGGGATATCAGATTACGGAAACAAGTGATCTGAACACGTGCTGGGCGTCGTCGTTGAAGTAGCGCTCAAGTGGAGTGTTCTGGTCATTCGGAATAGGCACGTACGATCACAAGATAATTTCTTTCGTCAGTTGTCCCGGGAAAACAAATATGTATCCAGGATCATGGGCTTTGTGAAGCTGGTCAGGAGTTTGGTTCACTGTTAACAGGTGACGTTGAGACATTAACGAAGTGTGAGCTAGTTTTTCCATATCTTGATCCGCAAACGTCCAACTTCTGTAACCATGAGATAGAAATTTTTTCTCAGTTGGTTCCTAGCTGTCTAGCATACAAATGCGTTGGTACCCCACCTTGCAGTATTAAACCATTTCAGGCCGAACCACGTCTCTATGACTGATAGTTGATTCACAGACGCATATCAAGCATCTGGATCTGTGACGTCTTAGCTGTGAAGTCGCCCATCAATCTTGACAATGCACCTGTGTGCCCGAAGTGTGATGTTCTTTCGGATCTTGATTCAAAATTATACACCAATGGCCGGTCTTCGGAGCCTATTTGACGTTTCGGTACCGAATATTGATAGCAAGGGTTTATGTTCACTGTGCAACACAGACTACCAATTATGAAGCATCTTCGATCTGACCACAATTTTTCTTCTCTGCAGTCATTGCACGGGATGTGTTATGACATTTCTTTTGACCAATGATAGAGAACTGACGCAGCAAGACAGGTCCGTTTCGTGAGGCATCGGTGGCAACAATGTTAGATCGCTTAGGGTCATAGACCAGAGCCTAGAACAGTTTGATATTCTGAAGACCAAGCGTTCTTCCGATGAAGGAGTGGTAGGGGTGTTTGGTATTCATACAAAACGAAACTGTGGTAGTAGTTTACTACACCACCTATTTGTGGTATTTTTTTAATAGCCTTGAATTTATATGGGTTCGGGTGGCTTACTTCAGTATCTATTACGGAAGGGAGATACTTCATACACGAAAGCATAAACAAGAACTCTTCAGGACTGATATGTAAAGCAGTTTGCTTGGTTGAATATATTGCTCTTTCAATATTGAGCTGACAACGATTATATCATCTTGGTGTACCATCGCAAATAGTAATCCTGGTGACATCACATCCACCATCACCTGTTGGAATATTGTTGGCGCCCACTTCACCCCAAACGATAACCAATTAGAACAATAGACATGACGGTGTGTCTATTGCGCGTAACCATTTGGAGTATTAGAGGTTCGGTAGCGGTCGCTTAGAGTAAATAAGCTAGACGTGAATTACTATTCGCAAAAATATTAGGAAAGTTCAGTTCTGCGTGGTTATTTTTTGAAACCAAAACAGAGCGCGGAATCCGATTAGTTGATGCGTCGAATAGGGTTAAACAGTACATCCCGTAAGCTTAATTTGTTTGTCCAGTCGATGCCTAACAAATTCACTGGTGTGTACATGGCAAATGCCTGATTTAAATAATCGCTGAAACCGAAGTGACATTTCAACTCAAGGAGGAAAGAAATGGAGTCACCAAATGTATCCTACGCAGTTCCACTTAAAGTTCTTTACACAAGGCAAGCAATGATTGTAATGTCCGATGCTACATCCATCTGAAGTTCAACGGGAGCATTTCCAGTCACCGCTATGTTGTACTTCCGTAGTTCCTGGAACGTTCCACAGTTCGCTCCCATAACGATGTTTAACTGACATCTAACGCGAGGATTCAGTAGTGGTTGCCTACACAGTGATTCTTTTCAACCCTTTCTATCACAATGCGAAATGTTACGAAAGGGACACAGTGAAACGGTGTCATTGTCCACAGTGCCACTAAGCAGTAGTTGGACGTTATGATGGGCGATCACGATTGGTTTAAGTTTTAGCAACGCGCCTTCCATCAATCGCTTCGACCCCATTAAAATGTGGATTGTCCTGCGGCATCTGTGTTATGTTTCAAGTATTGTGCAGTGAGGTCTGAAGGTAGCGTTCTAATTTCCAAGCTGACAGGTTCTGATATCCGCTTCATCTGGAAATGTTAATCCTACCACAGCCGCCAACGGTTTTAAATACACGCCTTTCAGCTGATTCAGCTGAAGGCGTGCGTACTCCTGCTTAGCTTTTCCGACACACCTG